ACTACATTCTAAATAGCATTGAGTGAAAACAGTCTATTATTCAAAACAGTACTTACATATATATCTAAGATCTAAGATATATCTAACCTAAAACGGCATCCTTATAAATGCAGTTTGGTCTCTAAGACAGTGGGATCAAAGCTGTCTCTGTCAGGACAAATAAAGTTTAGGAAAAGACACAGGTTTCGAATTTAAGCAAAGCGAGGGCAAGATCCTGATGTCGATGGAATCGAACTTTTCTCTTTAGAATTAATTAAATCCATTATAAAATGATTTATTGGTGTTCAATTATCAAAAAGATCTATTGTTTCTTCTTTGAGAACTGTGCACTTTACAGTAAATTGTTCTGATCAAATCGGTAGTCCACTTTACATCATATTCGTGCTTTCAGCACAAAATATCATCATATCAAGTTTCTTCAGGTCAAATTGATTAATTCTCTTATAATGGGATGACGTCGTATTAAACTCCTAATAATTGTTCAATGCTTGGCGATTTCTGTAGTTATTCTCAGATATGTTGCTGCGGCAAAATTATTCGCTGAATATACGGATGTTCTTATCAAATCTGGCACAAAATATACACCCTACCTTTGCCGAACACCAGGTGTTCAATATTCTCAGACGTGGCAACCATCTGTGTCTGACTGAAACCTTCCATGTGGTGACAAGACTTGGTGTCCTTGTTGTAGAACATGGTGGTGCAGTATGCACTGAGGAAACACAGAGAGACACAGTCTATCCGGGACATGGCTGGAGACCCTGGAGGTAGGGGCGGGGGCACCTGTCCAGTAGATAGCAGGGATACGGCCATTTCAGAACAGTCCATGCCGTTTACTGATATGTTGACGATGGTTGGTTTTGAGGGCGAAAATTACGTTCTCGTAAAGTTGAGAAGAGCCTGAAACACAGAGGGACATTACTTCAGTAACAAAATTGTGACAACGTACGAATCATCAAATATGTGAGTCTGATGGATGGTTAATACCAGGGAGCACTTTAGTAACTCAATATGGAGAGAGTCACTGTCAAGCATGTCTGTGCTGCATTTTCTCTCGTAAGGGATAAATATTTCAGTGTAAAAACTGTTAAGGATCTTTTTACAAATGTTAATTTTCATTTAATTATTGGTTTTGTAAAAGACATTGATTAAATTGATGAATTCTGATTAATGTGTTTTGTAAATAGATATATTTTAAAGTTGGTAGTTTAGATTAGTAGCTTGGATTGTTAATGGCTGTATCCTCAAAGGGAGTTAAAGATCTGTAAAATTATTGTCCTCCTGCGAGGATACGTAAGGCCCCAAACCTTCAAAGTACATTTCAACTTACCAGAATGTTTAAACGTAGCATTTGTGTGATTTTAAATTATGGCTTAACTTTCCTACAATCGCGAGCGGCTGAGGGGATGGTATAAATCCAGCTAGGGTCCATGCAGGTAGCAAAGGTACTGTAAAGCTGGCCACCCGGACTGTCGACTATTGAAATTTTATAAATTCGATGTTTCGGGTATTACGTACGGAGGTAATTAGGCGTTAAAACTATGGCGGTCGACGGTCCGGGCATTAAGGAAAACAAAATATCATACGTACATACACTTTGTTACATGTACAGATCATAGAAGTTCTCATCATTCCAAGTGAGCAGATCGCGTCTGATGCATAGTTCATTGGTAATCTCTGTCTCTGAAGCTGATCCTTGAGGGCTGAATGAATGTAGAGTTGCTGGCGATCTGTGGCCATAGCCCCTCCACAAAGGACTGCTTTCTATGCTGTGTTGAGATAGATATTGTTCAAACGATGATGCCAACCTTCCAGATTATTGTTCGTGCGACGGCGGCCATCATCATCAGTTTATGGATACATCTCCAAACACACTGAGGGGTGTGATATTCCACGTAGTTGTGACGTTTTACGGCTCTCAAAATCCATCGGTGATGTCTGGAGATAAGTTGAAACTTTGTGCTGCTTTCAGTGGGCGGAATGCTGATATGTCTCCTCTGAAGGAAGTACACGAGAGGATAAATGTGGCCTTGAACCTGATGGAAGTTAAGCTGGTAAAACACATGTTTTAAGTTCTTCATCGAAGATATGGTGGTTGTTGTCTCTGTCTGGGAGCGGTGAAATATTGCTGATGACCTGACTTTTATAAGAGATTTAACTTGTGTCATATTCTCACTTCCCTCGTTGACATGATGATTTACATGTATTTAGTGAGAGAAAACTTGTTTTAGTCATGATCTGTTTTTAAATTTTAACTCACTCACTTACATGATACACTGTATTAGTAGAGACATCTTCAGAAAGGGGACTTCGGAAAACTATGCAATTTTAACAGTTTGCATTCAATTTGATTTCATGTACGTTTGTTTGTTCGTTTGTTGTTTCATGCCGCGCTAGACTACATTACAGCTACGTGAAGGCTGTGTTTGACATAATCTACAGACATAATCTATTGACATCATCTATTGACATCATCTTTCACATAATCTACAGACATAATCTATTGACATCATCTATTGACATCATCTACAGACATAATCTTTGACATAATCTATTGACATTATCTACAGACATAATCTATTGACATAATCTACAATCTATTGACATCATCTATTGACATCATCTATTGACATCATCTGTGACATTGATCCTCGTAGTATTGATACAATAACATGCATCAACCAAGTCAGCCAGTCTGACCATCCGAAGCCGTCATTTGTTCCCGAATACCAATTCCAACCCGGACCATCCCGTGTGTTTCCACGTATGCTGAACTTTCAAAATGCAATTACTTATAATGCATCGTGAAGCAGACTCCCCGCCGCGGCGTAAAACTAAACTCACTCACTACAATGCACTGTACACTATCTCCGTAAATCGGCACCTCGTTGTAATAATGTAACCTGTCATCGCCTTTTCTAAAGACGGTTTTTCTTAAAAAGGGAACTGTCCATAAGGGCGTAGCTCCATGTATGTCGGTCCGCTGTGGCTTGTTAAAATTATATTAAAATGGCTATTAAATCATGTCAACTATGAACATCAAGTAACTAGATCCACACAATTTGATAAACTGGCAAATATGGTAGACGAGGAAATGTCATGTCCAGCATCGTTACTGGCGTGAAACACGGACATTCAAAATACATTCGTTTCTACACACATGACGTCCTTAGTTTTGAATTGATGTTGTTCTTAAAATGTTACGAAACAATTGAATTAATATGTAGCTGATGCCACAATGTGTGTCAGGCAGCATACTTACAGCCACTGCAGGAAATTCGTTTCTACACACATGCGTCCTTAGTTTTGAAATGCTACAATGTTACGAACATCTGTTAAATGTACTATCCCACAATGCCTGTGTCAGGGAGCATCACAGCCACTGCAGGAAATGCTACACGAACATTAACAGGAACCTTGTATTGATTTGTTGTAATTGTGACGTATTTCCTAATTCCCCTGACAAACGTCCTGTAGCCAATCCTATCGAAGCAGTCAATATGTCAATAATGAAGTACTCACGGAAATAGAAATAGAGTGGAGTTTATTTGTATATTACTTTATCAAAATAGGCAGTTTTAACAAATATAAAAATAACTACATGTATGTTTTTCCCAACTGGAATTTGATCCTTATAATTTTATCAATAATACCATTTTACAGATCAAATAATACCAAATTTGCATATTATCAAACAAATTTAGAAACATGTTGTAATTTACGTCACAATCAACAATGGGTGGTGAAACTACGTGTTTAGACGGGAACATTTGTTGTCAACGGTTGTGTTGACAATATAAGAAACATGAGTACAGGCACATTTTAACTGCGATGAATCAACAATGGGTAAATATGACACGATTATTATGTATCTCCTGTAAATCTCATCTATTTCGGATGGTTTTACAAAAAGTGTTAAAAACAAAAGTTGAGAAAAACGATCGTCATCGTATTTAACAATCAAACTTCAGTTCAAAACTACGAAATAAACGTCAAAGAAACATGTTATTCCTATTTCAGTAAGTATTTTGTATATTGTGGTATAGTTGTTGACGATATAGGAACGCCCGTGGCTTAACTTCCGTGACAAAGACAGACATTACATTTGGAACCAAAGACGTCAGCCACATATATCAAAAGCTCAGCGTGCAAATTCTCACTATCATCTACAGATCTTACAACAAGGATCACACGTTTATCGACGTTACCTAAGACGAAAGATGTCAATAACATTCTGTGACTCTCCCTTTCTGTGACGCTCCCTTTCTGTGACTATCCCTTTCTGTGACACTTCCTTTCTGTGACTCTCCCTTTCTGTGACTCTCCCTTTCTGTGACGCTCCCTTTCTGTGGCACTCCCTTTCTGTGGCACTCCCTTTCTGTGCCACTTCCTTTCTGTGACTCTCCCTTTCTGTGACTCTCCCTTTCTGTGACGCTCCCTTTCTGTGACGCTCCCTTTCTGTGACACTCCCTTTCTGTGCCACTTCCTTTCTGTGACGCTCCTTTGTGCCGCTCCTTTTCTGTGGCACCCTTGTGTGTGCCTCCTTTCTGTGACGCTCCTTTCTGTGACTCTCCCTTTCTGTGACGCTCCCTTTCTGTGACGCTCCCTTTCTGTGACGCTCCCTTTCTGTGACGCTCCCTTTGACGCTCCCTTTCTGTGGCGCTCCCTTTCTGTGGCACTCCCTTTCTGTGACGCTCCCTTTCTGTGACACTCCCTTTCTGTGACGCTCCCTTTCTGTGACGCTCCCTTTCTGTGGCACTCCCTTTCTGTGACACTCCCTTTCTGTGACACTCCCTTTCTGTGCCGCTCCCTTTCTGTGACGCTCCCTTTCTGTGGCACTCCCTTTCTGTGACGCTCCCTTTCTGTGACACTCCCTTTCTGTGACACTCCCTTTCTGTGACCCTCCCTTTCTGTGCCGCTCCCTTTCTGTGACGCCCCTTTCTGTGGTACTCCCTTTCTGTGACGCTCCCTTTCTGTGACACTGTGACACTCCCTTTCTGTGACGCTCCCTTTCTGTGACGCTCCCTTTCTGTGACGCCCCTTTCTGTGACACTCCCTTTCTGTGCCACTCCCTTCTGTCTGTGCTGTGACGCTCCCTTTCTGTGGCACTCCCTTTCTGTGACACTCCCTTTCTGTGACGCTCCCTTTCTGTGGCTGACCCCTTCTGTGACACTCCCTTTCTGTGACTCTCCCTTTCTGTGGTGCTCCCTTTCTGTGACGCTCCCTTTCTGTGGCACTCCCTTTCTGTGGCACTCCCTTTCTGTGGCACTCCCTTTCTGTGACTCTCCCTTTCTGTGGTGCTCCCTTTCTGTGACGCTCCCTTTCTGTGGCACTCCCTTTCTGTGACGCTCCCTTTCTGTGACACTCCCTTTCTGTGCCACTTCCTTTCTGTGACGCTCCCTTTCTGTGGCGCTCCCTTTCTGTGACGCTCCCTTTCTGTGACGCTCCCTTTCTGTGACGCTCCCTTTCTGTGGCACTCCCTTTCTGTGGCACTCCCTTTCTGTGACTCTCCCTTTCTGTGGCGCCCCTTTCTGTGACTGTGACGCTCCCTTTCTGTGGCACTCCCTTTCTGTGGCACTCCTTTCTGTGGCACTCCCTTTCTGTGACTCTCCCTTTCTGTGGTGCTCCCTTTCTGTGACGCTCCCTTTCTGTGACGCTCCCTTTCTGTGACACTCCCTTTCTGTGGCACTCCCTTTCTGTGACACTCCCTTTCTGTGCTTAAATGACAAAGAACAAACCAGCCGATCTTCATCTCCTTACAGGTGATGCCAAAAGAGGTCAAAAGTCCGGAGTGGAGTGTGAACGGTCCGCTGAAAATGGGACAAAAGTAGAATAGATGGTGGATAAAATATACATGAACACAGAAAGAGACAGGGCAAAGAATGTCACTGGGCCTGGACATTCAGTGTGTTACGGATTCGAAATTACCGTCACAAAAGTCTTTTGAATCCCTTTTAAACCAGCAAAATAGAACACAGACAAGTTTATGATATTAAATAATATATTAAATAAACTATAAACAAGGTTACAATGAATGAAAGTACAGATTTCCAATACAATGCAATAGAGTCACGAGTGTAAAATATTGAGTCACAAATCTAAAATATTAACTCACCAAAGTATTGATATTCCCAGTACAGAACGGATGTACTGATTGAAGATTGTTGACAGCTGTAAATGTTCATTGTAGACGAGTGGTAGGTCTTTTGAGTGGCGAAACATTGATGTTAGCAGACAGATTCTAGCTGAAGCCACGTCACCACAGCACAATCATGCAGAAATTACTAACATGTACAGCTTCTCACAATCCGACCGAAACCTAGGCAATCAAAGGGCAGGTAACTCCCAAGCCCCCTCTCAACTGGTGAAAATACACAACTTCAAAGTGTGAGTTCAAACCCGCACTCAGCGCTTTAAACTTTTGTGACCCATAATGCCATAATATAAATAGTCAATTAATGTGACATTTTAAATTAACATTAACATATCCTCATAACAAGTGGGAATATCAATCCGACAGGCCAAGGATCTTTTCACATAGGAGTAACAGACTTCCTATATTATCATGGAACATTAATGGCTTGTGTAAAAAGTATGATGACTGAGACTTTCTCGCCTATTTCAAGTCAATTGTCATTGGGTATTTAAAGGAGACATTCATAACTGATAGATAGCAACGCAACTTTTAATCATTTGGTCGCATTTTGGCATTCACATTTCACAACTTTACAGGTACAATCGAGTTTGTTCGTTTTTATCAGGATTTCAAAGAGCATCATGCCACTCTTGCTCAGAAGCTGCTTGATGAAGGTTAGAACATTCAAGGCCTCAGTAAAGTTTTCAAAAATTATGTGGAGGATATCTCCAAACTTGATGCATCAGTGACAAAAAATATGTCCGATGCAATTCCCTATTTTGACTTACACCATACGTTCACGAATTATTTCAGGTGAACAAATGACTAGACTTAATATATCTTTATAACAGGTGTCACTGGTGGGCAGGATGAGCTATCCTTTCGCGAACACCTTGTATCATCACTATTTCATCGTAATTCATAAACACATGCTCTGTCACAATCACTGCATTGTCTGGTTCAGTCCCGATTTGTTTACAAACAACATCGTACAGCTGTAATGCTGCTGAAACAAATATATATATATATCATGATATAGTCAAAATAGTACAATCGACTCTGCTTTTGGCAGATATTTCTTATGAATGTGGAAAGGGTTTTGTCGCTTCTAAGGAAGGAATACTCAAGGCACAGATTACGATTCAATTTATAGCATTTCATGGTTTTGCACTATGAACACTCGTGAAGATTCACGTTTTTTAATAACTTGATGAGTGAGTGAGCTGAAATTTAAAGTCACTTTGGCAATATTTCAGCCATAGCGTGACTAATAACTTGATGACAACGGATTACCAAATACATCAGCTTGAGTTAAATGTATCATAGTTCCAAACTACGTCAGATTTTGTTCTAGCTTATTTGAACAATTGCGACTTATGAACTAGGACTAAAGAATCCAAATGCAAATACTCCATACTTCTTCCAATGGTCTCCATTGAAAGAGGTTTCTCTGTATATCCTCTAGGGTACTTTTAATTGAAAGTTAAGAATATATATGATGACATGGACTTGTCATGGCAGGTCAAGCTTGATGCCGTTGTAATGCGTATTGAGGAAAAAACAGAAATCATTTCCAAGCCATTTCATTCAAAATGGGGAAGACATGTGTCCATGATTTGCTTTTGAAAGTTTGAAAGCAGTGCCGTTTTACACACTGCAAAACAACATCGATGTAAGAAGTAAATGAACGTCCATTCGCAATTAACAACCTGAAGACTGCTGTTCAGCAACCCATGCTTGTAGAAAGAGGTGACAAACGGGATCGGGTGGTCCAGGCTAGTGATTCTGTTTGATCCCCTAGGCTCTCTACCCACCATCGATTGTCAGCAAGAACGACGGCATATGCCTGTAGATCTCCAACAGGCGACACAAGGGATACCGGGAGGGTATGCTCAAGCAGAACCATGACGAAAACTTTCTAACAGAATGGCCCATGAGCTACCGCTTTCAGGGAACGTGTGACTGTAGGCTGTCCATTTTGTAAATGTTTGCAGTGAACAGATACATTCGTCACCACTCGCCCCTTTCCGTAACCTCCAAGAAGACTCGTCCCCCACTCGATACTTGTTATCAAACATACGAAAATACGACAAACCAATCAGAACGCGCGTAAATGAGCGCGGTGCTTTGATAAAAATAATCCCGAGTACTTCAATCGTTTATGGCACTGTGTCATTGTTTAAAGAATCATGAAAAATATATATCGTCATATTGAAAGTACAAAGAACGCAGCTAAAAGGATTTTTCTGCCTATTATGAAGTTTTTAATAAGAATCATGCGATTGACGGTGAGAGATTCAAACACACGCACGTGCGGTTGTTGACATCACTGCTCTCATGGGTCCAACTGAGTGTATTTCTGACGATCTTGCGGGCTTGTTATGGAGATTGTACGTGCGCTTCGACCAATTTTAGGAAATGTAATTATAATCGCTACGAGTTTCAAAACAATCATATCATATTTGTATGTAGCTAATCAACCTTAATCTTTAACATTGGGCTTATATTTCATAGCACTGGGGATATTTTAGTTTGAGTGTTTTTTGGTCATTCATAATTATTAAAAATAAATAAGTAATAAAACCCCCAAAACAACCTAGGAATACAATGTAACTGTGCTTCGGTGATATTAAGAAACATTGGAATCAAACAGGGATAGAGTTATCGTTCTTTTTTTAAAGCAGTTCTGATGTTCATGCGCCAATATGAAATCCTTCCAGAGGGGCACGAGTCGCTATTCGGCTTGTCCCGGAATAACACGAGTTGGTCACGAATGTGAACAGATAATGAATTTTGGTAAAGAACAATACCAAGTCCATAAAATAACCAGTGAAATTTAGCAATGCACAAAACACAGTTTACACGACTTGGCATGATCAGCCCATTGACAAAACCGGGAACCAGTGCCCTCAGACATCAGAATTCTGTCCTCCATCGACAAGGGCGCTCTTTATGAGACAATTAAACAAACGGACCATTAAAGACAGTTATGCATTGCCAAGGATTGAGGAACTTTTGGACAATCTAGCGGGGAATAAGTACTTTACAAAGTTGGACATGAAATCAGGTTATTATCAGGTAGAGATTTTGGAAGAACATAAAGAAAGGACCGCCCTCACAGTGGGCCCTTTAGGGTTTTATGAGTACAACTAGCTCCCATTTGGATTATGTAACAGTCCAGCAACTTTTCAGCGTTTAATGGAAGAATGTCTTGGGGACTTGCATCTTCAAATGTGTTGCATTTACATTGATCACCTGATTATTTATTCTCGCACGCTGGAAGAACACATTGAAAGACTTACTAGGGTTTTCCAATGGCTCAGAGAATGTAGTCTGAAGTTAGCTCCCGACAAGTGTTCATTTTTCAAGAGAAAGGTACAGTATGTTGGACATGTCATATCTGAAGAAGGAATAGAACCAGATCCGAGCAAAACTGAAGTTATCAGGAACTGGAAAACACCAACTTCTCCCACTGAAGTTCGGCAGTTCTTAGGATTTGCTGGTTACTATCGGCGCTTCGTTCCAGACTTTTCAACGATTGCCAAGCCTCTAACTCACCTAATGCCAAGTCCGAATGCAAAGGGCAAATTAGCAAATACAAAGGAGTTTATCTGGGAACCGGAACATGACCATGCTTTTCAGGAATTGAAGGTTAAATTAACTTCACCACCAGTACTTGGATTTCCCAATTACTCCCTACCCTTTGAACTTCACACAGATGCCAGTCAACTAGCATTAGGAGCAGTACTCTATCAGAAACAGAATGATAAATTGAGAGTGATTGACTATGCAAGCAGAGGATTGAACAAATCTGAACAGAATTATCCAGCACACAAGCTGGAATTTCTTGCACTTAAATGGGTTATCACCGACAAATTTCATGATTTTCTGTATGGACATTCATTTACTGTATACACAGACAATAATCCCTTGACATATGTCTTGACATCGGCCAAATTAGACGCCACTGGACACAGATGGTTGGCATCTCTTGCGGCGTATCACTTCAGTATCTTGTATCGACCAGGAAAAGCGAACATTGATGCAGATGTTCTATCGAGATTGCCTAGTTCTGCAACTCAAGATACTGTTGATGGAAAGCAGGAGATCAAGGAGGATTCTATCAAAGCCATCTGTAATTCCATATTATGTCAGAACTTTGTGGAATGTCTTAGAATGTCAAGTGATTCGGTGATAGAGGACGGAGTTGAAATGGACGCAATGACTAACAGACAATGGAAAAAGGCACAAGCTGCTGATCCCATCCTTGCAGTCCTGATTAAATTTGTTAGTCAAGGGAAAAGACCACCTCGTGATTATTTACCTTCCACCGAATTTGCAGGCTTACAACGGCAGTTTGATAGACTATGGTTCAAGCGAGGAGTACTTCATAGAATAACCAAAGAAGATGAAGTGACAAGAAGTCAGTTGATTCTCCCATCGGCATTCAGAGAGAAAGCTCTTAGAGGTTTGCACGATGATGTAGGACATCTCGGACGAGACCGGACTTTATCCTTACTACGTGATCGCTTCTATTGGCCTGGAATGGTTAGGGATGTTGAATCATGGGTTCGAAGTTGCGACAGATGCATTCGGCGCAAGACAAAGACCAATACCAGGGTGCCACTAGTGAATGTCACTGCAACATATCCACTGGAACTTGTCTCTATGGACTTTTTGACCTTGGAACCATCGAAGGGGAATTTTCAGCATATCTTAGTTATCACAGACCATTTCACTAAGTATGCACAGGCCATTCCAACCAAAAACATGACAGCCCGGACCACAGCTGATGCATTGTTCAACAAGTTCATAGTACATTACGGAATACCTACCAGAATTCATTCTGATCAAGGTGCAAACTTTGAAAGTAAACTGATAAAAGAACCCTGCACAATCATGGGAATGGACAAATCGCGTACCACTGTGTATCATCCTATGGGAAATGGGCAATGTGAGCGTTTTAACAGAACCTTGTTGGATAAGCTTGGAACGTTGGACTCCAACCAAAAGGCAGACTGGAAAACCCACGTGGGACCACTTGTTCATGCCTACAATTGTACAAAACACGAAACAACCGGCTATACCCCTTATATGCTGATGTTTGGCCGGCATCCAAGATTGCCTGTAGATATTGCTTTCGGAATTGATAGGAATCCGGGTTATGAAAATCTGTTATCATACACGAAGACATTGCGTTTGCAACTTCAAGAAGCATATGAGCTGGCCTCAGAAATATCCATCAAGTCCCAAGAAAGACAAAAGAAAAACTATGATCAGAAAGCTAGAGGAGCTGGAATTCAGATAGGGGATAGGGTGCTGGTGAAAATGTTAGCACATAAGGGTAAACACAAGTTGCAAGACAAATGGGAGCAGGAAATTTATACTGTCACTGATCAACCAAATACTGGAATCCCTGTGTATGTGGTTTCACCGGAGTTGGGTGATGGTAGAACGAGAACTCTCCATCACAATCACTTGTTGCCCATAGGACATTTACCATGTCGGGAGGATAATCAGCCCCATCCTACGCCTAGTATATGTAGTGACACCATGTCTGAGAGAGATTTGACTGAAGTTGAATCCACCTGTCTGGAGGATGACCCCGTTCTTGTTGGTACAGTTCCTGTCTTGAGTACAGACTCAGCTGCTTATTGATCACCCACAGTGTCCAATGGAGTTGCATCTGAGCTGAAAGTGATGGACGAAGATGGTGACGATCATCTGACTGTTGGACAAGACCAGGAATCTGAAAAGGAGGGGGAGGGAACAGATAAGACAGGATCTCAGATGACTGTCCTAGAAACTGTTGCTCAAACAGTAACGGAGACTGCTGAACATGCAGTGACAGTAACAGAGACACAGGCACCTCTATTAGAAACTGTGGATAGTAATGACACTGAGGTGACAACAGACTTGGAAGTACAAGAGCAAGTTTTACCCCGTCGATCCGCCCGGGACAGAAGGAAACCTAATTGGATGACAAGTGGACAGTACGTAATGTCACAGAATACAGGTGTTCCTGAGTGGATGGAAAAAGCTCAGTTTCTAGAATCATTGGCTTCAAGGGGTGTATTCACGAATCTTCCAGATAAGCTTTCGGATGCTCTTCTTACAGTCATAACTAAGTCATAAGTACAAGTTGTTGCTACTCTTTTATGCTGATACCGTACATGACGAGGACGTCATTCTTGAACAGGGGGTGTGTGTAGCAGTGACATTTCACTTTGTATTATATACTGTGTTTTATTTAAAATGTCAATAAAAAAAATCATATAAAAACATTTCTTGGTGGTGTTATACAGTTTTGAGGCCAGCAGTATTATTTGTGCTTGTCCTGCGTAGGCCAGGTTAATGAAGATGTATTGCACGTGCATTTCATGTTTATGGGAATCCTTGTTATAACATGGATGATTTTGATTGGTTGATTGGATCGTCTGCTTCAACATGATTATACCTCGTGGTGTCTTGTGAGTTTCATTGCATTCTGAGAGCTGATAATGTGAGGTCGAGTCAGAGGAGTCACCAGGTTAGTTATATTTGGTTGTAGAATGGTTTCTAAAGTTTTAGGGTATAATATTTCACTAATGCATATGAAATAAAGTTCTAGACTAAACACGTCTATTAATATTAAATAATGTTGGCAGTTTGGATATGTAAATATGTTGTGCTAATACGTGATAGGCTGTAAAGTTTTTAATGCCTCAATTGGATTGCTATTCTACATATTTTCACATAATGTATCTTGCATGGGTGTCGTGCGTGTAGTCCGTACGCGCTGTGGTGGTGACTGTTGAGAATATGATGTTCGCTTGTGTGTGCTGGTGATGGGTTCAGTGTGATTCATATTTTTGTTTTTCGTTTGAATAAAATATTTATTAATACAGGTAATTACATTTGCAGACA